GGTAACCGCTCTGGTCCAACGGTCATCGCAAAATCGCATGACGTGTCCGGCCCACCTTATCTTCGATTCCTTGGCGAAAACGGCAGCGTCCCTGATCTTCGATCGTTGGCGTAGTTCGGCACTCCGGATTCCCGGTTGAGAGATCATTTTGAATAATTCCGTAAAAAAACAAATAAGCTCTTAAGGAGAGGTTCCCTCTCCAGTTCATGCGTGTCGAAAAAGGTTGCAATTTATATCGTTTGACTTCAGGCTAGGCGATTAGCCACTAAAATACCAACTCAGTGTGTGGAGCGTGAAATCTGAACATTAAAAATCCGCGACTATGTTATATTTTTTGACTAAATTCTCGCCTGATAACTTCAGGCTTCCGCCGCGCATACATTTTTTGCTTAAGCGGTAACCTTTTCACATCAACATGGCGCCAAAGATTGCCTTCAACATTTGGATTTGATTCGATTCTAACTATGGGGAGAGAGCCTTTGCCCTTTCGAAGCTTGTGACATGTGGCTTACGATCTTTGCTATTGTTGGATAGCCCATGATTACCGTACATCTTTGTTTACGCTATCATACCCAGCTCGCTACCTGTTTCATGCGACATTGAGCTTCAAGATAATTCACTATATTCAGTCATGGTTCTGGGTTTTCATTGGACGAAAAAAAAACCTGGAAAATGGCTGTCTTCTGGCTGTAACAAAAGGAGCACGTTGATCTAGGGCTCGACATTCGACCATTTCTTCCAGGGCTTCCACCCACATGACTACTCTTCAGTATGGTAGAGGGGGGTTTATAGAATCCGTATTTAAACCCAAACAGTGCCCTAGGCAAGCGTCTTTTCTATTCGCACAGACGTGCGCTTTTGTGAGTTTTATAACGACTGAAGGTTATCTTAGGCCTGATCCTATCCAAAGAGGTGCGAAATATCATTTAGCCACTCCTGCAAAGCAGTCATATGATATGTATGTGTATGTACAGGGGGGGGGGGCAATAAAAAAAGACATTTTGTCTCCAACTGTAGGCCTCCCTGAGCTTGACGACGGTGACAGATGACGTCATATTCTGAAGACGGTGAGGGTAGTGAAGGAGGGCCTGCGTGCACTTATAGGGACATTTAGGGAATATTTTGCTGAGGAACTTCCGTCAACGACGGCAATCTCTGCGAAGAAAAAAAGGCCGAAGTGCGACCTGGGCAAAATGTTTTTTTTGCCCCCCCCCCCCCTGTACAACTGAGCAGCGGTAGAACTTTTTTTACAATAAGGCCTGATGATTCTCCATTGGAATCTGATTCAGAGAACATGCGGGCCATTAGAGATCTGCCACATTTTTTCTGCACTTCCATCTGGCGTGTAAGGACCGGCATGGACAGCCGCGTTATCGTGCGTAAAATCAAGGATCGAGGGGGTTGTTGTCAAAAAATGGTAAAATTCGCTTCAAAAGAACTTCACGATACCCTATGGAATCCTTGTGAAAGGAAACAAAAGCGAGCTCTAGCCGCTCAGTCGTTCAAAGGTGCCTCAAACCATAAGGGATTCACCGCCGAAATTACGTTACATTGAAACCATCTGCGATTTTCACGCGATCCTCCTGTACCCTCTTTTTCTATCAGATCCACCTAGAATAAACTTTTTCACGTCGATCTCAGATCACCTGTAGCACAAACAAGGAGGTAGAGTCCAAGATCGCGAAGGGTCTTATCAGCCAACCCTCGCTCAAATTAATTGAGGCGTTTTCCACGACGAAATCTAGACGTGCATCTTGTAGCGCTCCGATAATCTTAGAACGCGTTTCGTCAATCCCCTGAAGATGTTCTTGCACTGCTGGCTTATCCACTACACGAAGGTTTCGCTCAAGGAAGGCCGCCTTTGAGCACGGACCTTGTTCGGACTCCTTGTATAATTCGACAGAAGACGCCCAGTTTCTCTTGAATCTTGAATAAAAAGTAGCCTACACCTACCACGAGTACTCTTCTTTCCGCACTGACCAGGATTTCGCACATAGTTGCTTATACAGTATGAGCCGGCCGATATGATAGGCAGTTCTGCTCTTCAGCCATCGGCTACAGTCAGTGCGCTGACTTGAGCTCTAGTAAACACCACTCCATTTTAACTAGGGTAGAGATCTAATAACACGCAGTTCCCTCAATTGTCGACAGCGCCTCCCATCACTCACCTCCCCCGCTTCCCTGAATTCCCCCACGGATCCTGACAATGACTTTCCCCTTATCGACCTGCCCGAACTCATAAACCGCCGTTAACCCCTTTCGAAAACCTAAGTAGTTGGTACTTGAAGGGGAAAACTTGGTCGAAAACACTATCAAGTTTCCGGGGGGGGGGGGGGGGGGGGCGGGGGGGCCCGGCGCGCCCGCCCGGCGCGCGCGCGGACGCGCCGGATGAGACTCTAACGTGACCCACCACCACCTTCTCCCAACAAAATGCACAACAACTTCTGGGTATCAAATTCTAGACCGCGTGCCTACTATAAACGCAGTGTACATAAAATACGCAGTGTATAAAAAAAGGCGAGTTGTCTATAGAAGGCCCGCTCACCCCCCCCCACCGAGCGGTCCGGCACACTCGCAACCTGAGTCGCCCCGGGCCCCCCTCAATCCCCCGGGCGGTTAATTGTACCCGACTTGTCTGGAGGACAACACACACCACCGAGTTGACCCATCCCCCGGGCTGGGCCCCCCCCGCAAGTCATTGTATAGGCCACATCGCATTCAAATGCCACTGCGAACGATACAAATGGAAGTAGAATGCGTGCCGCATCCCAAAAAGGGATTGATCAACGGCAAATGCTTTATCCTTTATCCTTTAGTGTATAAAATCGATCAGTCTCTGCAATTCACTGTTTAGGCCAATTGCATTCACGATGCCGCAGCTACATTGCAGTTGCTGCTGCTTGCCCTTTCACAGCGTTTCTTGACATCATTATTTTTTTCATTGAAAAGAGTCGCAGATGTGAGCCATCATACCTTTACAGAACCCTTGTGAATGACTTCAGCCAAAGACTTTTGTATAGGTTCATGTGGGGTTTATTTTCCTGCGAAAGAGGTCTTCATGTAGTTTATGCCAGTTTCGCAGCTAATGGATGCCTCCGAGCGTAAACATGTTGTTTGTCAAAGTAGGTGATGCATTATTTATGATCATTATTACTAGAGCTTTTTTCATGTTACATTCAAACAAAAACTTCCTGTAGCTGATGGGGCCCACTGGTCAAGATAACCTACAATCGCAACAAGATAGCCGCACCTAACGTTACCAGCACCTGATCAACGAATTCAGTGGCCTACGGTGCATGAGTGCTTATATGAAAGAATAGTGTTCTCGATGTTATTCATTTATTTTGGGATGCGCCACACATCTGACTGAAAGTCAGAAGTGTAGAGGCTTTGAACCGTGATCCCTCTTCCCCCACGTAAATCCTGTTTGACATGTACATGTCTACGTTCCGTAGACTAACCAGCGAACTACTCAAATGCTATTTTAGTTTCTGGGAATGAAATTATTCACGCGTAAATTTCAGAGCGGAAAGCGAAACCTCGTTAGCAGATGAAATACGTCAGCGAAGGTGGATGTGCTTGACTTATTTCCTTTCATATTGGCTGAGCAACTGCTACACCTTCACAGAAACAATAACTCAAATATGAGCCGAGTAGCAAAGGCAACAAGCTCCAAGTCTAGATATAATCGTTGCTTTGTAGGAACGATGCGCATCTGGGAAGTCAGAAGCATTTTCTCCGTGTCTGCAATTTTCCAAACACAGCAAAGAACGCGCCTGTTTCTAAGCCGTAAAGCTTTTTGGCCATCAGATTGGTGGTTCGATTTCACTCGAAAGTGAAACTTGTGTTAAAGAGGAGACCGCTTGTGAGAAAGTAGAAAAATTGCCTCAAATATGAAGATGACGGACCATCTCTTTTGAATAGATGAGTTGCCAATGAAGCAGGAAGAGATGGATAGTTTGAAAGGTATATAATGTGGTGCTCCGAGGAGAGCCAACAGATGAATGAGTTATTGGCAGTTGCAAGGGTAGGACCAGAGGCATCTTGTCCCATGGACATTTTGCTTGGTTAGAAGCTCCAGCGCCCACGTTGCGCCCTTTGGAGCTGCGAAAACGACACGTTTTCAAGCTGATAGTTCTGTCCTACCCACGGGTAAACTGAATCCACCTGGCTGCACTTTGGAATGCGCTCCCAAGCTAATCAACACGTTTCACTATTTCTTGCTGGAACTCAGGCTGTGTGGGTCTTTAGTATTAGAAATTCCTTAGTAGCTGATTTAAATACCCGCGTTTCTTAGCTTTCATCTATGATCGCCTAACTGAGATGATGAACAATCGCCTTCTGAGCTAACGAAGGTTCCATTCCATCTGAATTACTCGGGCCTAATATTAATGACCATCTTAAAAGGGCACAAAAAACGAGTGTGATCCCAATTTGCCCTGTGAATTCAACGTTTCCATTTATCTGAAAAAATTGATGATGATTTTCCAAAAACTCTGCGGCTTTTCGAATTTTCTTTAACATATTTATCATCACGTGAGACATATGATCTGGGTCTACCCGCGTATTGTAAATCCACAAAACGACATACAAGCTACGATGGGTTACAAACACTTGAACAATAAGGATTTCTGGATACTACTTCTAGGAGATACTAGTCGCACATCGCTGATGTCTACGGTGAAGAATCATTACAAAGAGCTTGAGATCGTAGTGTTCAATTAAAACACAATGAAAAGAGTACGTGATAAAGCCTGATAAAAATTTATCCTTGGAGTCTATCTCAGAGGTCCTTTCTGGAATGAATGAATACACTACACTACTAGCTTAATCCCTAAGGGTCTGTACAATCGAATCGATCAATTGGTAAGAGAGCCGTGAATAGTCGACTGGGAACGTCACATGAAAAAATAGTAACGAACACTCGACGGTATCTAAAAGTCCTAACTACGTGCGACGTTACACAATGTCTTGACTATTCAATGGAATCGGACTGATGATCACAGATTGTCCTGCTGGACACCGTAGAGATAACCCTGGAAAGTGTTGTGGGAATTGCATCGGTCGTAATTGCATACACAGCGGAAAAGAAACTCCGGTTGTCCAAAGCGTGGTGAAAGTTTGCCCAGATCATATTTCTGAAATTGCATTGATTTTGTACTCCACATTTCTACAAAAAAAATCAGTCCCAGGGAGGTCGAGTAGAAAAAAAACTACTGGACAGCTGCATATTCTATGTTTTACGCTGCATTATCGTTAGAGGTTGTGAAAACACCAGGGTCATAATGCTTTAAGGCAAGCCTCGGGATAAAACTGGTGCATAAGAGCCCATCCCAGCGATAGGTGAGCTGCGAAATGAACTGAAAGTGGAAAGGAAAGCAAGAGAACGCCATCGGAAACGCTAAAATTAAGGCCTTAACCTCCAGTAAAGTCGGATGTGGTACGGCGAGACAAAGCGATCAAAGAAGACAAAACACGCGAGAGAGCACGCCGTTCGAGAGAGCACGCTGATCTCCACATCAATCGCGGTGGGTGGGAAGCGTTGCAATGGGGTCGATGGTTGCAGCCCTTAACGATTAGCGCCCTAACCGCGCATTTTGTGCGACGGCGTGGCACGCTCTTTGGAGGCACGGACACTGCAATGTCCCCCGCAGTATCCTTCCTACTACTGAGGCTAGTCCCGGGGTTTGCCTTCAGGTCGAGGATTCCAGCCCTGATAGGGGTGGTGTTTGGTTGAAGCAGACTTATACATATTAGAAGGCCAGCAGGAATTTTAAAAGCAGAGTATTCCCGACGACTTTTTTTTACTTTGGCTTGAAAACAGCCTCTACATTAGCAGGTCTTGTGCTAGCTGCCCATGTAAATGATAGCTGAGTCGTTGCTTAAGTCTTCCTTAGGCAGCTAGCTAAAGTTTACCAGTGCAACAGATTCTTTAGCTAATTGGTGAATTGAGCAATTATGGTATACAGGTATGTCGTGACGTTTGCATGACATCTTTTGAAACATCCATAACTGACTCGGTCCATGACCCACCTCGTATATGCACATTGTGAGGATCTTGTAGAGAGGGCCGGACAGGTTGAAAGTGGTGTCATAGCCAGTCAAACTTTCTACGTCTTTTCCTGAAAACATTCATTGGTCACCAAAGGCTTGAGCCACTAATAGCGCTTAGTAGGCTCGGCTTACCAATGCCAAACACTCGCCCTTCCTCTCCATCTGTTTCCGGAATGAGAGCACAATAGGACCATTGATCGTTGGACACTTCTTTGACGTTGCCCTTCAAAGCGCAAGCTTTTTTTTCGTATGGTTGGGTACAAAGCTCATGCCGACCCATCCACGTCACGGAGTGAGCTGCCAATTTTCCATGGGTTTAATTAAAATTTTCAGGTTGAGCAAATCTCAGTTATAATCGAATGCGGCCCACGTTAGTGGCAAATGGACTAATTGAATCTGATACCGCCTGCTGCCGAAATGATTTGCTCTAGGCTCGTTAGTTACATAAGCGCTTGATGAGGAATTTCAATCTAACTTCAGGCAAAGGCACAGGAAGAAAAGACTATGCAATTATTATATTCTATTTAAAGCGATCATTTAGATGGGCTAATTTCCTTTGAGAATGTCAGATAACATGTGAATTATTCAGTGTATTCGCTTGTAACTATTCATTATAATTGAGAAATTTCCTTCGTAAATACAGGACATTATGTGAAATGTTGTAAACCTCCGGAAAAGAACTATTACTGTAGAGGCTGACTGGCAAGGAGCGATTGATGACATCAATTGAGTAGAAGAACGTTTCAAATAGATCGAATAAATCGAATCCTTTTTGTGGAGGCTGGCTCCCCCCTCCCAGCTCCTTCAGGTCTATCTAACCACACGCTTTACTGCTTTTTCAAAGTCCTACTTTTCGATGTACTATTTATAAAGACATAATGAGCCAAACAGTCATGGTTGCTCGGATTTTTGGTGTGCGCCATGCATCCGACTTCGTTCGTATTATGGTGGCATTTGCATTTTGGCCTTTATAACGATTTGCGATGCACAACCCAACTATTTTATCCCCACAAATGAGCCTTATAAGAATCGAGGAACTCTGTGGCAGAGATGGATGGTATGCCTGGTTATCTTTAGCTGGATTTGCTCAAATTTGGCTTCTTCACCGCTCTCATGATTAATGATGCTGCTGCAACCACACCGCGTCCACACTACTTGTCATTTGAAAGGTGCATACTTCACTTTGAAGCTAAGCCTATGTACTATAACGCGTCTTCGTCCTAAGTGTGAGCAGAAGAGGGTGTTGGAGTTTTCAAAGTAGTAATGGCTTAACGACTTACTTTGTCATCGCTCTCATAGCAGACAAGAGCGTATGATAGTGGCAAGATGCCAAGCAGGAATGCCATCAATCGAAGCATAGCTGACGAACGAGAGGTTACCTTGGTACTACTGGCACTGCCGCTTTCGCCTCGTCGGCTTTTATCCGTGGTGGGCGGGGCGTAATCGGCTTACCGGCTTGTCGCTCGCTGTTTCTCTGCTCTCTAGTATTTCCATTTATCACCGCCCATGGAGATTGTTGCAACTTCCAAATATCGCTGAACATTAGGAAATTCATGACCCAGTGGAAGCTTGCGATCGTATGAATGGACACGTATTGTGGTCGTTTTGTGGAAATTTGGGTAAAAATTCAACGTCTTTTCGTCAGTCTTAGTTTTCTCGAATAGGGGTTTGTTACATTTTTTATTGAAGTGGGTGGAGTCATGTAAGAAATCCTCTTATGCGATTCGCAAAAAGTTTCGAGGAGGGACCGCCTTCTACTTGCCTTCCTCTGGAATATGAATGAGATGTCTCCATACACTCCCTTATTCTGAACGAGTAGTTGCTATCAGATAAAAACGGATCGAGTCTTCAAAAAGTTTCAGCAACAAGTCCAATGAAAAAATATAACGACATTGAACGTGGAATGAGAGAGCCATCAGTATAAGATCCTGCCAAATGCGATTCAGTTGTGATCATCAGATCCAGCGTAGCGAAAGCGCAATGGGCTCTCAGTCTCAGTCAGCCGTCCATTCGCACTATTCGAACGAGAGGTCGTATTTGTGATTTGGGAAAGAGGATCGCATCCGGGGTAGAGCAAGGTTAAGTATTTTGAGAAAAGTCGGAAGGCGCGGTTTCGTGGAGAAAGTGGGCAAAGTTGTCTCTGTGGATTGATCTCAGAATGAAATACTATAGAAACAGCCACAATGACGAGGGTGGCGGCCGAAGAGCGGGGGTGGAGGTTTCGCACTGGAGGAGCCTTCTAAGACTGATGGTGGCGGTGGGGATCGCATCAACCCTCCTGAAGAGGGGCTCGCAAAATTTTTGGAAATGAGCGAACGCGACGTTGATCCTGCTCTCAGTGTTCGATTTCTCGCTCCGTTGCTCCGTTCTGTTCCATTTCTTTATCATCAGGCAATCACACATCTGGAAGGCGTCACTGAAAACTTCTTACATAATCGCTTGCTCTCGGTTGTAGCCTCCCTGATGAGCAGCGAAAAACAACTTTATATTGTGTTACAGAATTGCATGGTATACGGCACGCTGCCGATGATTTCCGCATGATCGTAATTAAACATGAATGCTCATCACACAATGAGCTAAGGGTCGGCCGGGTGTTGAGGTCACTGTCCTTAATCCTCCTTGATACTCTGCCGGCTAGGATGAAGGCTGGGTGGCTAGGTAAGTCGATTTCCTAGGCGCACGCCTCTAGCCCATTTCTATCTCCACCTCCATAATTATATGGATATTTTATGATAATGTACCTTGGGTGGCAGTGCAAGAAGCAAGGAAAAAGAAGGGAAAAATCAAAGCAGAACCGTTAGGAAGTATGTAGAGCCTCCATTCGTTGCTTCCCAGAGCCTACGTTCGGGATTCACGTTGGATGACGAAGTACAGGTTCAGATGGTCGAAATACGCCGAGTGGGAACGTGAGACCGAAGATCTTCTCCTTAGAATTTGCATCCAGTAGGGTTAAATTTGAGGCACATGGGAACACAATTTATTACTCCTTTCGGACGAATTTTTTACGTGAAAAAAATTTCTTTCTGTCAGTCATTGTTTATTACTTGTGAGCGCATAAACATCATTATAGCAAAATTTGGAACTTATTTCGATCAACAATTAGCGAAACTGGAAACTTCCAAAATAGGCACAGCTTCTTAGTTTTTTAGCCTATGTCAAAACAATTTCAAATTTCTTCGATATGTAGAAAATGTTTATGATTCTGCACAACATTATATCTAACATTTTTGCTAAGAAATTGAGTATACAGGGTGGTCCAAAATTATGAGGACCAAGACATTGTGTCTGTAAAAGAGCATTGTAGCTTGATGGAGCAAACATACTACAGGGAATTGTTTTTAACTATTATCTCAAAGTAATTCCAGAATAGAAGTTGCGGTGGCACGCAACTGAGGCGTGTCAAAATGTTTCCAGGCCTTCTGCTCTGCTTTCTTCAGGGGATCAACGTTTTGTGGGGCATTCATTTCATGTCTCCAGGGTGTAAAATACAGAATTCTAGAGCTGTTAGGTGGAGGGTTCCATTGTAACAATTCTTCGAAGAGCAACAAACTCGAAAAATCGCTTTTTAGAGAATTTTTGCTCTATTCTTGGGTGCTCGGTCCTGTAAAAGTCCCAAGTAGACTACTCAAGTGGCTTTCTATCCACTACAGATGTGGAGTCTTTAGAGTGTCTGGCTGGGTTTTCACATCAATTTTTTCATTTTGGGAGTACGAAAGTCGACAAGGGGAGAGCAAGTTTCTGCATCTGATAATTATCCTGGTGGTAACTGTAACTTTCGAGTCCCCGAATTTTCCATCTGTGGTGGTTCCAAACTTATTGAAATAGTTGAACTGTTGCCCACATGAGCTTTCCTGATACGTTAGACTGCCGCTAGATGTAACGTGCCAGAGCCCTTAGTGAGTTCAATTTGAGGAATGACATAAGGAGGTGTTGCTCTTTCACTAGTTTTGAGAACTGCATGAAGTTTAGTTTCGAAAGGAAGAATACACTGTACCCTATCACATGGTGCACAGAAAAGGAAATGAAAATGGAGCGACTCGGAAAAAAGTGGATATGACCGCGCGCGCACGCGGTCCTCATAATTTTGGACCACCCTTGGTATACTAAGGTAGGAGGACGTGCACATTCCCTAGTGGGCACTTAGCCTAAAGACCAGCGCCATACATTGGCTTCCTCGTTGTTCACAAATATTGTAATCGCTAACAGCACTTCGAAAGTAAATGGCGTACTCAAGCCATAATTACGAATGGGTAAGGTCGTCTGTAGTAATCTCTACAGCGGGTAGTAGAAATATGCTGTTGCAGCGGTAATGCAGACATTTGAATTTGATGGGTGGCTATAGCTGCCACCAGGTCCAAAAGGGTTAAACTTCTTGAATATGTACTGCATTACTCGGAGCATTACTCGAAAGGGGCCCGAAGAGTACATATGGTAGTAGTGTTGATAGGAAGAGGCTGTGGTCTTGAAAATAAAACGTTTCTGGGCAGTCTCGAGCCCTCTATCGAGAGCAGTACTCAGACCGAAGAGGAGTGCTGTCAAGTCACCTACTTTGTTGGCAATGGGATTTGATGTACTCCTTCGTCTTGCACATTCTTTGACCAGAGCCAATAGGACTATCATGTTTTGGGGTAAGCACCTCTGCGAGTAGAACATTTTCGCAGTCGGTGGTACAATCTGACCGGAATGCTTTTATCGAGGATTTCATTCGGTTGTAACCTAACGGGTTCTGAAGGCTCAATGCCGACACTTCGGTAGATTCGTTTTAGTGATCGTATCTCGTGTACGTACGTGATTGATTCATAATCTCGTTTACAACTTTTGTTTTAAGGAATGAACGAATAGGCTTTTGTCAAACATTTGAGATTGACATTTTGCGGAGTAACTCTCATTAGGCGAGTCATGAATCTTCGGACTTTTGTGGTTATTCCTCTCCGAAATGTTGTCCTGTTCGCAGACGTCAGAGATCACTTAGAGGGATTCATCGATAGAGAAGCAGCACTTCCATAACTCATCGTAATCCTTCACTTAAATTTATTACTGATTGCTGATATGCCCTCCGGTTGGTGCCCTCTATTGTAGTACACCCGCATGATATTTTTCTTCTTTTTTGGTCTGAAGCCTGACGAGTCCAATTTTACCTGCAGAAAATTTATCGGGAGAATGCACCTGCTCAGTGCACAGCACACTCTACTCTTGGTTCTATCACTCCTTGCAACAAAAAATCATCTACAGAAATTCTGCTGTCGTACGTTGGATTTGACCTAGAATTTGATCCAAGGACCATACGTGCGGCAGCAGCCCCTTCTCACTGCATCATCTCCGCTTGAATGAAAAATTTTGAAATATGAAATAGCTACTTTCTCATCATTAACAAAGTCGCCTTGTGTAGTAGTGTGCGAAGTAAATACTCTTTTGGGAGCCGCGCCCACTGGCCAGTGGTGACCTGTGGTAGGTCATGCTTTACTAAATTTCCTAGGGTAAATCGCCTACACTTTTGACGACTCAGTGTCAGAGTGAGAATTGTAGATTTTCTATTTGTGCCTAACTTCGCCATCAAGCGGGCGCTCCTGCATCAGCAAGTCCCAAAACGGTGGTAGTGCCTTTGACTATGAGAGTGGTAAGCATGTGTACCAACAGTAGTCAGGGTTAAACAACTTGTGAGCTATCGGCAAGCTTTGGCAAAGTCAGTTGCAAGATAAATACTCGGTCCAACGTGATGTGAGATGGTGGGCCACACTTCGTTTTTTGAGCTTTCAGCGCCACTCGGACGGTCAAATTAAAACCGCGACGACGTCGACAAGGCCCTCGTTGGATCTGCAAGATTCTGCTACTCCGTTTGGAAGAAAGGCGTCTGCGGTATACACATGTCGGCGAAAGAACATTGGTGTTAATGGAGCATATTTCGTCCGGAACTTATGAGTCAACTTATTACGTTTGCAGGAGAACTTTCTTCGGCTCCTGGCGACCAATTTGATCAATCTTTTTCACGTGTCCTATTATCGACTACCATGTAGAAGCATATGGTGTTTAAATTCGCTGGTGCTGGGCCTCAAATACCT